TATATACTTGAACCCATACTCAATGCCTATAAAGGATATAATAAGGTCCATACAAGTCAATACCCATTTTACTATCATCTTCAGATCCCTTTTTTATTTACAAAAGAAAACAATAACAGAACAAGAAACAGTTTACAGGGAGTGATATGGTAGTAAGATGAAATCATGTACCAAAATGTGAAACGAACCTGATGCAGAATCCACACAACAATGCCAGCAAACTCAACGACGCCAATGTATCGGTCGATCCAGCTGGCGTCATCAGGTGCATTTACATCAACAACAGGGGCACTAAGGACTTTGTGCCTTGCCAGTAACTTGACAGCCTCGTCCAGGCTTGTGTCTGATCTTATCTCAATGACTGCAAAAGGATTATGTCCAATTAACATGAACGAGTCAATAAAGAAGATTCGGTACTTACTCAGATAGAATATGAGAGACATGTTACGATGTTATTTGCTCAATTCACAAAAAATGCAGATAGTCGTAGCAAACAAATTAGAATAAAATGTTGCCTCAAATATCTTAATAACGAGTGACATTAATTGCCGTTATGGGTTATGCCAAACATAATCCAAAATGATGTTTAATGACATATGCATCAGTATATTGGTAAGTTCAATTACATTCTGAATTTATCTCTCATCCACATCTTTATCTTAGTAATTGAGTACACCCAAAATATGCTCTCGCCAGATAATCTAAAAAGCGCAGATTATGTGACCAAGCAGATGATCAATTATGTGAATGATCATCTGAAAATCCAAGGAAAATTAACATCAAACAGGACCGAAACCAATTGTTTTCTACAGTATTCTACAGTACACCCATCCTTTTTAACTAGGTGAACCAACTAATTCACTCATCTTTTTTCTTAATCGTCGATACACACCACACGCAAAAAGAAAAACGTACAACAAACAGCAAATCAAACATGATCTAACTTGCAATCAAGGACAGCTAAAACAAACACAAAGAAACAATGATCTGTTTGAAGAGAAAATTACCAAAAACTAATTTATTTATCGAATAAAAACAGAAAGAAGAAAAGGACCTTGTGATGAAGGTGCAGGTGGGAAAGCAGAAACAGGGATGCTCTCAAAGCAAGCGTTGAGCTTCTCAGTAGGGCTAAGCTGAGGCTCTTGCACATCCCACAAATCCTCAACTTGCATCCCAAGTTTTGCCTCTGGGCTTCTCGGCGTTTCGCCTTCTTCCGCCACCATCTCTCCTCTTTTTCTTCTCTCTCTCTCACCCTAACCAACGAGAAAACCAAAAAAAACTTTCGATTCCTTTTTTTCTTGTTTTTGAATTAGTTTGTTTCCCAATGGTTGCCTGCTAAGATGTAATCACGATGCACAAACCAATCATGCCATTTATTCTAATGTAATACAGTAATATTATATATAAGAACAGTGGCAAAAAGTGTACGTTTTCCTGATCGGCTGCTCCACGGTGCATGCTATACTCTGTGGTCCGCTTGATCTTTGGGGTTGCAAGTTATTGATCTGTCTGACACGTGGCGAGATGGGCCTCTATGGCTGACGCAGTCAAAATCGGAGGCGATGAGTACGCTTCGGGGTCCTGCTTTCGTTCTTATCCATTAGAGCTCTACTTTGAAGCTCGCACTTATCCGATTGTCCATTTCGGCCTCTAACTATTAAGAACAAACAATTATTATAAAATTGCAGGGGGTTTTTTTTTTTTTTCCTTGGTTCACCTCATCAATCTATGTATTCACTAATTCGAATTTCAATATTGGTTTCAATTTACTAATTAAAGACATAAAATTGCAGTAATCATTTTCTGTTCAAATTTTTTTTCCGTTTGGTGTTAGCTCTTCCATTTTAAATAAAGATATCTACTAATAGATTTGGACAATAATTTTGCATACGTAAGTGCTCGCAATCGATGAGGATATATGATGTATTGTCGAGTAATATAACAAGGTTTTGAATCATAAAGTTGATGGTGACTTTACATTGTTATTTATTTCTTGTAAGTTATGTCTTTCTCGTTTAACTAAACATGTAGGTCATTATCTTATGATGGGAGAACTACAATCCCATTATGGAATGTTCGATTATTTTTTTAATTGTAGATACACATGTAAATTAGTGATATGTAGATAAAATATGCTTAACTACAACGGAATCATCCAGTAACAAAGAGTTTTTGTGTGTTCTATATATTGAGAGTTTGAGAGATCCGAAAAATTGCCCACCAAAATTTTTCGAAGTAGGTGTTTGGATCATACATTAGAAGATCTTAAGGTTAGATAGATCAAACCCATAGATCTCCTATTTTCCGGTTAGCCGCCGCCGTCGGCAAGTCGTCGAAAATCGTCGCCGTCGCTCGAAGTCGCCGGAAGCTGCCAAGCCGCACGCAGCCGCGAGCCAGCGCCTGCAACCGCGCGCAGCCAGACACTACCGCACGTCACCAGCCATGCACCGTGCCTCGCCGTCCCTGCCTGCTCATGTCCTGCCATTGACCCAAGTTTCTCGTGCCCCGATCCCAACTAGTGAGAACACGCGCATGCTACTCCTCGCACGACCAGGAGACCCGCGTCGTACACCCGCGTGACCCCAGACGCCCGAGCCCAATCCGCATCGGCCTAGGAGTCCTGCGACAGAGATGCACGCGCCCGAGAACCCAGCGCCTGCCCGCGTCTGTCCCGCGACCACGCGTCCCAGCCACCCGACGCGCACCGTCCGCGACCTGCACCAATGACCCTCGCCCTGTTTGCGACCAGACCCAATCAGCGCCGGTCCGAGCCAACTTGTCCGCGACCCGTGACTCGATCGATTCAACCCGAGTCTCGACCGACCCGAACCCGATCCAACCTGTCCGAGCCCGATCCGGTGATCCATTCGTGATTCAACACTCGATTAGAATCGACAAAGGCCAAACTCTTCAACCGATTAAGTTGTGGTAATCAGACGATCTCCATCAAAGGAAATCAGAAATGTCTCTGAGTCGGCAAAAATTTTAAACGGTAATGTCCTAACCCTAACTATAGATTCCGCTGCATTAAGGTTTATTTTTTCAAATTTCAATTGTTTCAATAATTTTGAATTAGGGCTAAACTTAGCGTTTTAAATTGGATTGAGTTATGGATTGAGATATGTTGATGGGTTGCTTTATTATGTTTGTTTGATAAATTGATGGGTTATTTAGAAATTGATTAAGGTTTTATAGTTTGTTTGGAAATCTATGATTTGAAGGTGTTCGATAAAATGCCTCAAAGGGATTGTTGTACATATTGTTATACATTTTGTGAATATGTGATGATTGTGATGAGGTGAATTTATTTGTGAATTTATTGTGTATATAATTTTCTTGGAGTCGAATTGGAATGAGAATATGATTGTTTTTTTTCATTTAGTGTGATTTTTTTTTTCATTTAGTGAGAATATAATTTTCTTGTATATAATTTTAATGTCAATTTATTGTGTATATGATTTGTGAATTTGTAAATTTATTGTGTATATAATTTATTTTTGTTTTTGTGAATTTTTTTTTATTTTTTTGTGAATATGATTGTATTATTTTCATTTGCAAATGATTGTTTTTTTTGTAATTTTTTTGTAGAAAATGGCATCATCGTCGTCCTCACAACCGCAACGCTACAATGTACATCCCAGTCCGAGGGATGCGTCCCTTCTATATCTTCAGTACCGCCACCGATCGAATGCCGTATTCGAGGATTTGGAGGGATGTCGTGACGGCGTCGTTAAAACCCGCCGTTGAGACACTGAGTTTTGGAAATCGTTGGACAAACAACATCCCAGAGTTTGGGAAGTAATCGAGAGGACAGGTTTTGGGACGCTGTTTAGAATGGGCAGAGTACAGACGGACAACAACCTTATTACCTGTCTGGTCGAAAGGTGGCGACCGGAGACGCATACCTTCCACTTTGACTTCGCGGAGGCCACGATCATGCTGCAGGACGTACAAGTCCTATTTGGTCTCCCGATCAATGAAACGCCTTGTTGGGGAGAGACTCAAGATCGCACACCCCAAGAACGGCGAGACGCGTGTATAGATTTGTTAGGGTTCGAGCCCTATGTCCAGGTAAATTTTTTCCTACAATTTTTTTATTTTTTATTTTTATGTTTACTCCATTCATTAATTTTTAATATATATAAACCACTCTCAGAATGACGACGACCCGGAGCGCGACCCCAAGACTTGGGCCATTACAGGCTAGTTTTTGTGGACCTCAGGGTTAGAAGTGGAGTGCACCAGAGAGATAACAGATGGAGATCAAACCCAGGACTATAAACAGAGGGCGAGGGCCCTTATACTCTGGTGCATCGGTTCCTTCTTCTTCCCCGACCAGAGGGCCAATGGAGTGAACCTCTACTGGTTGCAACATTTGCACGACATCGATGCGATCACGACGTACAGCTGGGGTTCGGCGCTCCTGGCCGGAGTGTATAGAGCGCTCTGCACGAGCTACAAGGCCGGGAAAAACTAGATCAAGAACTGTGTCCAATTGATTCAGGTACATTTATTTACTTATTATTTAAAAGTTCATTTTTTTAATTCTAATTTAGACTAATATCTAATAACAAATGCATATGTCGATATGTGTAGGTTTGGGCATGAGAACGTATCCCTCGTATTCGCTCAAAAATGAGGGATACGAACTTTCAGAGAGTCCGTGGTTGTCCTGTTGTAGTTATTTTTACCGGAGTTAAACCAAATGATTCAATCCCCGGGTCGTGTCTCAAGGAAGGTTAGCCGGATTATTTCGTACGTATATTCAATCACAAGAAGAAGAAATTAATTTCCTAAACACTCTAATACGATGATTTTGATTTTTAATTATCGACTTCTAATTCTCAGATAACGCAAATGAACGATTATAAATGACTTAAAACGATTTACTTATCAGTATGAGAATGCTAGGGAATCAGGGATGATTGCTCTCGAATCCAATGTAAATACCAAGCTAAGACTGTTCAGTTAAATAATTCGATCAACCTACACGTCTAGAGTTTAATCCTCAACAACTGTTCGTAACAAGAGGGAAAACATAGACGGTAAATCAAACCAATCAAACAACACATAGGCAATACAATCACGAACAAGCCTACTCTAATCGAGCCTAGATCGATCGATTTCTCCCCTTTCGGTTCTACAAGTCAATTAAATAGGTCAGGATGGTGATCAAGCATCTAACCCTAGGTTTAATTCAACTCGAATAGATCGAACAAAAATCGTAAGCAAGGTAAACACACAAACACGAGTAATCATCCCCTATCCCTAGCTCAAGGATTTAGCCACTCATGTCAAGATGAACACAAAATATTGTATACAGTAAATATTCCAAACTCATAGTCAAATGAGAAGAAAACTTACGATAGATAAATAAAGAGTGTTAATCTCAAGCACAATCTGAATCCACGATCAAAATCCTTGGGTGTCACTCCCAAAAATCTCAAAGATAAGCAATATAAAAGGAACAAGTTTTCGTCTGATAAAACGAGAGAAAAATGAAAAGTGTCGAATACCCTCTGAAACCCTTGCTCGATCCTATTTAAACGCCCACAGTTTAATGACTTAAAATATCAGGCGCCGCGGCGCGAGGCTCCACCGCGGCGCGGGGCAGGGGCACCTTCGCGGCGCGGGGCAGGGGCACGGCTTTGAAGAACTAACACTCGGGTTGATCCGTCTTGAAGGTCGGGGTGTGCGCTACTCGGTTATTTGACTGGCTCCAAATGTGATGAAAAACCTGAACCTACACACCACCACAAACGAAAGAAAAACACACGAAAACCGACAAAAGAGCAGAAAATATCGAAAACGAAAAATAAACGGCAAACACACCAAACAAACGACTAGTGGACCAAAAGAACTAAAAGATTCCTAAAAACGGGGGGAAACACTAACAAATAAACAAAGAAAAAAGATGACAAAAATGGGACAAACAACTCCCCCACACTAAGACTTTTGTTCGTCCCGAACAAAAAGAAAAGAAAAGAAAAACACGCAAACGAGCAAGTACAATGGCTTCAAAACAAGAAAAGTCTCAAATTGATCAACTAGGTTGGAAAGAATTCCGATGACCTCGAGAACACACCTTGACAATGAACTCAATCACATGATAACACAAACTCTCTAGTACGGAGATATGATATAAATGCCTCACTCATTTTCTTGCAAAAATAAAAGACAGGAGCACTCAAATTGGTCGTCAGTTAGATCGATCATACGCTTGCCTATTGTCTAACCCCTACTCTAAATCAATCAAATAAATGAGACAGTAAATCAAAAGGACTTTTATGGACGTAATGTAGGCTGAACGGGTCGGGTAAGATAAATATAGGTCAAATGGCTCAAATATAGAATATATCACAACTCAGCACTTCAACCATAATCAACAACTCCTCCGGCTTCAACCGGTTCTCCAACCTCCACCCAAGCCAACATGCTTCCACATTATTTATTTTTTT